AATTTTCAGTCAGGTCATCTGGACAGTTTCTTTTTTTGCTGAAACGTTCCACTTTGGAACGCCCCCTCCTCCATTGCCAGCCCTCTTCCTTGTTGACAGTCTTGTCAAACTGGTTGAAAACAACAAAGTCCATGCTCAATAATCCAGGTATACAAGCCAACATTTTTCAGTCAGGTTTCTTTTTTTTTGTGCTGAAACGTTTTGCCTTCAGTCCGGAAGGCTTCATCAGTCAAGGAAACACACAACAAAACTGATTCTTCCCCCAACAGCTTACTCCAAAGTGGAACAAACCAGTTCTGCTTGTGATAAGATGGTCTCTTTTTGTTCCACTTTGGAGTAAGCTGTTGGGGGAAGAAGCAGTTTTGTTGTGTGTTTCCTTGACTGATGAAGCCTTCCAGATGGAAGGTGAAACATTTCAGCAAAAAAAGAAACTGTCCAGATGACCTGACTGGAAATTGTTGGGCCCCATGTAAAGGTTTCTAAAACATTGTTTTCATGAACCACTGTGACATTTTTGAAATTAAAGTTATTTTAATCCACTTTGGTCTTGGCACCACTCAAACTAAACATTAGGTTGTCAGCCCAGACAGAATTTAACTTAATTTCTCCAAACTGAAGTTCAATGAATTCAATGATTTTACTAGAATCCATGCAGGGGTGTCAAACCTACTTACAAAATGGGCCAAAATTAAAACCTTTTTCAAACTAAGGGCCGGTTTCAGAATCTACATCAACTCAAGTTACAGTGCCTTGCGAAAGTATTTGCCCCCTTGAATTTTTCAACCTTTTGCCACGTTTCAGGCTTCAGACATAAAGATATAAAATTGTAATTTTTTGAGAAGAATCAACAACAAGTGGGACACAATCAAGAAGTGGAATGAAATTTATTGGATGTGTCAAACTTTTTTAACAAATAAAAAACTGAAAAGTGGGGTGTGCAATATTATTCGTCCCCCTTGCGTTAATACTTTGTAGCGCCGCCTTTTGCTGCAGTTCCAGCTGCAAGTCTCTTGGGGTTTGTCTCTATCAGTTTTGCACATGGAGACACTGAAATTCTTGCCCATTCTTCTTTGCAAAACAGCTCGAGCTCAGTGAGGTTGGATGGAGAGCGTTTGTGAACAGCAGTCTTCAGCTCTTTCCACAGATTCTCGATTGGATTCAGGTCTGGACTTTGACTTGGCCATTCCAACACCTGGATACGTTTATTTGTGAACCATTCCATTGTAGATGTGGCTTTATGTTTTGGATCATTGTCTTGTTGGAAGATAAATCTCTGTCCCAGTCTCAGGTCTCTGGTTTTCTTCCAGACTGGTCCTGTATTTGGCCCCATCCATCTTACCATCAATTCTGACCATCTTCCTGTCCATGCTGATGAAAAGCAGGCCCAAACCATGATGCTGCCACCACCATGTTTGACAGTGGGGATGGTGTGTTCAGGGTGATGAGCTGTGTTGCTTTTACGCCAAACATATCGTTTTGCATTGTGGCCAAACAGTTGGATTTTGGTTTCATCTGACCAGAGCACCTTCTTCCACATGTTTGCTGTGTCTCCCAGGTGCTTGTGTCAAACTTTAAACAACACTTTTTATGGATATCTTTGAGAAATGTTTTTCTTCTTGCCACTCTTCCATAAAGACCAGATTTGTGCAGTGTACGACTGATTGTTGTCCTATGGACAGACTCTCCCACCTCAGCTGTAGATCTCTGTAGTTCATCCAGAGTCATCATGGGCCTCTTGGCTGCATCTCTGATCAGTCTTCTCCTTGTTCCAGATGAAAGTTTAGAGGGACGGCCGGGTCTTGGCAGATTTGCAGTGGTCTGATCCTCCTTCCATTTCAATATGATTGCTTGCACAGTGCTCCTTGGGATGTTTAAAGTTTGGAAAATCTTTTTGTATCCAAATCCGGCTTTAAACATCTCCGAAACAGTATCTCGGACCTGCCTGGTGTGTTCCTTGGTCTTCATGATGCTCTCTGCGCTTTGAACAGAACCCTGAGACTATCACAGAGCAGGTGCATTTATATGGAGACTTGATTACACACAGGTGGATTCTATTTATCATCATCAGTCATTTGGGACAACATTGGATCATTCATAGATCCTCACTGAACTTCTGGAGTGAGTTTGCTGCACTGAAAGTAAAGGGGCCCAATAATATTGCACGTCCCACTTTTCAGTTTTTTATTTGTTAAAAAAGTTAGACACATCCAATAAATTTCATTCCACTTCACAATTGTGTCCCACTTGTTGTTGATTCTCCACAAAAAAATAAAATTTTAAATATTTATGTTTGAAGCCTGAAATGTGGCAAAAGGTTGAAAAGTTCAAGGGGGCCGAATACTTTCGCAAGGCACTGTAGATATCCAACATCTTTTCTTGGTTGCAGGTTCCTCAACAACAGTTTCATTTAATGTTCTCTGTTGCACTTTTGACATCATAATTAAAGATTACTGAAAAAATGAAAGTGATAAAAGTATTTTACATTTAAAATATCATCTTGGGGGCCAGGTAAGATGTCAACGAGGGCCACATTTGGCTCCCGGGCCTTAGGTTTAACACATATGTATTAGAGGACACACTTAGTAAGTTATTTTTATGATGTTATGTTGAAACTACAGCTTATATATCTTGTAATCTCAGTATACTGGGACAATTAGCTGGTTATGGGATCTCAAGAAAACCACATTAAAATTAACATTAGCAGTTACTGCTATTTTCAACTTTCAAAAGCTAACAAAAACAAGAGGTTATATATTGTTTGTTCATAAGCTTTTTGTAAAACATTACTTTAAAAGTTCTGAACTAACACCAACATTAATTTTTTCCTTTCCTTTTGTTTCAGAGGCTTCTTGATAAAACATATTACTTATACCCTTCTGAAGGTAAACGCACAGAGTTAACCATTGTTCCTAAAAAATGTGAAGAAGTACAGAGCGCTTTATTCTTGCTTGTGATGTAAATAAATGTTTATATATTTAGAATATTTGTTTCTTTTGTAAACTCATTAAAAGCCAGGCTAACAAAGACTTGTTCCTGATGCTGATTGTCTTGTTCATCTTCGGCCACTTGGTGTCTCTGCAGTTGTTTCAGTCCTGAAGAGTTTCAGCATGAAGCACTAAACCAGGCTGGTGATGAAGATGGACAGAAATACAGAAGTGTTTCAAAGAAAAATACACTCAAATGTATCAAAAAAATAAAAGTACTGGTACACAAGGCTTAATCCTTCTGCAGTCTGTACAGTGGTGATTTTAGCCTCTTTTTGGGGGTGCTCAAGCACACCTAAATTTGAACTCTTCACCGCTGAAAAACAAAGAACAAAAAACTTAATTTTTCTATTCCCACCCCCCCCAAAAAATCTTCTTTTTAATTCCCCCCCCCCCCCCCCACCCCACCACCACCAGTTATGAATCAAAGCAACAAAATAGGCTAATTTAAAAAGTAACAGACCATTGTAATACTTGGTTTATTTCCATAATGACTTTATCTGCTGGATGTCCGGCCCCTGAGCAGCTGAATAGCTCTGCTTTAGAGGGTGGAATATAGTTTATTCCAATTCCAAAACCTAAACTGAGTCTGGAAAAATGTAAAAGATAATAAAGCCCTGCGACCGACCTCATGAGCAGCTGAATACAACAGTTATACAACAGGAAGTACCACATGTTCAGCTGTACGAAGGTAACTGCAAGTAAATCCTCCATTTTCTGTCATAATCACATTTAATGGTTAAATTAAATGTTAATGCTTAAAGCTAATTGTGCTTTGTTTTGTATGTAGATATGTTGCAACTTCCGGTTGCATAAGTTTAGTCTATGTTTGTTATGATCAGTTAACATTGAACTGATACTGTACAACGTGTTTATTAGGTTGTGTAGTGTAAAGCAGAGCACTACATCTGTAGCATCTTAGCTAGCACATCTGTATTGTACGTCACTAGCGTTGCGCTACTTCTTGTTTTGTCGAGCTCTCTAAAATAGTTATTGAATCAAGTGTTTACTTACTGTATGTAGGTAAATATAGATGTTTAACAACATGTAAAAATACACCAGAATGCAGGAAATTACATCTACTTTATTCAACATTTTCTGGGGGAGGACCCCCAGACCAAGGCAGCACGGTGGCGCGATGGGAGGTGAAACGTCTTCAACTACGAAATAAAAGTCCAGTTGTGTGTTAGTTTTTCATTTTTGAAAATTCAGTCATGTTTATCACTACTGTGGATGGTACGAAGGTGACACGTGACAAACAAAGCAATGCCAACACAGAGCCACCAAATCAAACCTCGGTGACCTCATCAGTCTTTATTTACTCAAAGAGACCTTTGTTTCTCAAAGAAGGCACTGGTCTGCAGTACCCAACCAGCAGAATCCTTCCTTTGATGTATGCTACCATATAAGACCTAAGCCATCTTCATCTGTGGCAATAAACATCCAGTGGCTCATGAGGTATTTTGCTAACAGACACCCAGACAGACACAGGGAATTG